TGACCAGGGTAAACCCCTCTCCTAACACAGGACAGCCCAGAAAACAGAGATGTGCCTTTGTCCTTCAGCCTGTTTGTGCAGGCTTTTCCTCTCATAGTCAGCTCTCCCTAGTTATTTTAGGTAAGGCAGCTGAGCCAAACTGGCTGCAGTGTCACTCTGCTAGTGAAAGTGTGGGATGAGAAAGGATGTTGAGTTACCAAAAGGTCCTTAGCACTGGCTCATTTTCGTATTGTTCAGGCCCAGTTCAACAAAACAAAAACCTGGATGCTGAGTATGTGCCTCAAGCTGGTCTGCTTTGGGATTTTGCTGAATTACAATGGACTAAAGCTTGGGTGCTTTGCTGAATCTGGGGCCTGGACCCCTTTTTGAATGGATAAGAGAAGCAATTTCTGCCCTTTTTCATAATCATGCATTTTTTCAGTGGGCCAAGGCTTCCCAGGAGTATGTTTTCTCTGTTTATTTTTAAAAGCCTGTTTGCACTGTGTACTGATAAATTATCTGTTTTGCTGGGTTTTGCCCCTGACAAATCTTGATAAATGATATGTAGGGAACAGTCCATTTTATTTTTAAACTGATGAGATTGTAGCATTTTCTGATGCTTAGTTACCGCTGTTTACATGGTATATTGCTAGAATTTCAGATAGTTTCTATGAAATGTAAGTACAGTTATGCACTTTAGAGAGTTTATATTTTTGGACTTTGAAAACTAAAAGTAACAAAACCTGTTAAGTGAGATTGTACATTAAAAGAAAAAACCCACACCTAGCCAGTTTCTCTTTTTCAACTGTTCATGTCTTTCCCTGTGGCAAAAAGAGAGCAAAAGTTCATCTGCATAGTTGTGAACTGCCAGAAAAGACTGTTGTAGAGAAGTGAATTTTAAAATTCCGGTCCTGGAAAGATGTGTACAAATGCTGAACTCAGTCCTGGGTTTGCAGATGCTGTGACTCCCCTCTCCCAGGCCTGCACAGGAGGAGGGCTCCTGAGCACTAAAATGTTGTCTTTGTATCTCCCACAGATGATTTGAGTTCCCACAAACCACAAATAGCCAGGAGTTATGTTTGCCCTGCCACACTAAGTCAATCCAAGCAACAGCTGTGTGTTTTGTTTGATAATTTGTCTGTGCCAACGTCAATGACTATTGACTGGAGAACATTAAATACAAGACTGTGCTTTTTAAAAGGTGTGAAGTACTGTACAAAAATGTACTTTATGTGATATAAATAAGCTGTTTATTATAAGACAACCTGTTTCCATGTTGCTAGAACAAACAACTGTCTGTTGTAGATGGCAGTACGGTCTGTTGGGCTTCCCATCTACTGGGGCCGTTTCAGACATGTGTGTCTGTGTGTTACCACATTGTGGTATAATAAATCACTGTGGTTTATGTAAATGATGGCCATGAACGGGTTGTGGACAAAATAAGAGGTAAAGAGTTGTGAGAGTTAAAGATGATAGAAGAAAAACTTGTCATTCTTACAAGTTGCATTTGGTTTTATTCTGTTTACTCCTGAGTAAAAACACTTTGAATAATGATGTTTATGTTAAAGGCAGTGAAATTAAAGCATCTTATCTTTTAATCATTCTTCTGACACATGGGTCGTTATTCCTGGTGTATGCAAGTTTCAGAGGGACATTCTGCTGCCAGACATCTTTGAGCCTGAGTCCTCCTCTCTGGAGATGTTTGGAAATCTGTGATGGACCACTGCTGAGGTGAGAGCCAGGCTGGAGTTGAACTGGTGGCCATCAAACAGCAGGGCCATCCCAGGGCTGCTCTGTTCCCCTTGCTGGCTGGGACAACCAGAAGCTCGGCTGCCAGAGGGTGGGAACCCGGCCTGGGCTTTGACACATGTTAACTAGCTTGGTGGCAGGTGTACACACAGGGCATAGTGTTGTACTTCAGGTTGATTTCTGTCTGACTTTGGGTTCACACTTTCTGTTTCCCATCTCTTGGGGGAGGCATACAATGTCTTCTGGCTGTTGGAAAAGGAATTGGGGTGCAGATTGGTTTCTCTAAGCCAAGCCTAAGAGGGGACTTTGTTTGCTTATGTGCAGATAGAGAAGTCAGTTTTGCATTTGAAAACTGTAGCAAGTGGTGCATTCATTGACCCTTTAGTGAGGGATAACTTGATGGAAGGGGTGGCTCACTGCTTTCCTATCGCTGGATGCTTCCATATTCCTGAAGAGCAAAAAAGACCCTTATCCTAGTGACTGCACTTAGAGAGTGCTGATTCCAGCAACCTCCCCTGCATGTATTCCAAAAAGTGCTGTTGGCACCAGGATCATCAGCAGAGCCAGGACTGTGTGCCTGATGGTGTGCACAGGGAAGGGAGGGGAAGTGACAGCAGTCGTCTGCCCTTGGGATACAGCCCAGTGTTTCTGGTAACCTAGTTCTGTAGGGGATTTCTCTTGCAAACATTTAACCAATGCATTAAACAAATTGTTTTCCATCCATAAAATGATAAATTCTGAGCGCCATTACTGGAAAAGCTCAGGAGCTTATTCTTTGTAGGTGCAGAGGGTGAAAGCCTAGCCCTGCTGAAAGCAACTGGTTTTGCAATAGCACTTCAGCATTTTTTTTTTTAAAGTAGTAATGAAGTTACCCCAGCCTCAACCAGCTGAGGTGTACTCCTCTTCTTCCTTGCCAATTTGTGGGGGAAAAAAAACCCAAACTGGACCGAATTTGTTACAGGTCGAGTCAAAATTAATTCTGCACTGATGCCAATACCTGGGAAAGTACGAATTAACCCACTGGTGGCAGAAGGGGTGACTAAGTGGGGCAGAGTGGGTCTGGTGCAGCGTAATTAATTTTGCTAATGGTTGTAGCCTGCGATGAGTACATCAGAGACGGACAACAAGAACAGATGCAAAATGAGAGCAAGCCATGCTGATGGATGAGCAGGAGTTCCTGGGCTCTTCCTTCCCCTTCCAGGGGTCACTAAGGTTTTGTTGCTTTTGACTGTCATGGTTTTTTGTGTTGAAGGCCCGTTGCTTGGGGTGTGAGACACATAAATTGTCTCTGATAGAGTCCAGTTCACCTCCAACCACTTCGTGTCTTGGTGCCTCACCTGTACAGCATTTAATGGAAAACTTGCAAAAGGCTCCTGCCCTTGGAGATGGGTGTGGATTGACATTTCCAGCTATTGGAGGGAGCAGTCAAATCTCACCAACCTGTATGGTCACTGCCAGTACAGTGTTGAACACTTGCTGGACCCTGTATGGTCAAGTGGTCCTGTGCCTTCCTTTGGGCATCTGCATGCAGTGAACCATCTCCTACGATGTGGGTATGTACATACATCAAACCAGATATAGCTATGCAAATTACTTGGTGTACAGCAAATATTTTGGTTGGCTGGAGTGTGGAAGCCAGTACCAGGGTGGGGTGCCTGACTTGAAAAGAAAGTGTTAATAATCACTTTTTTTTCCAACTGCATTTCTCATGCAGCCAGTGCATTCCGCAGCTAGTGACACCTTAGCAACTCTGGGCTTGATTTAGGTAAGCAAGGTTAAATTGAATTTTTCGTGTCTTTTTTGACAGAAATTAATTGAAAACCATTATGTGTATATTTTGTATTTTGTATAAAACACAAAAGTATTGGTATTTTGACTGCAGGTGTTTGGTGACAGTTTTTGTTCCATGTGGGATGTTGCCATGGGTTGGCTCAGCTTGATACACAAGTGGCTGACACAACAGCCCTGGCCCCTGCTGCCTCCTCCTCCTCCTCAGCTGAACCTGGCTGACATCTGCTACTGGAAAAGAAATGTGTGTGTGATGCATAAATATGTATATACACACATTTTGCATTATATATCTATTATATGAAACATATGCACACTTACCTCTATATTGTAATACGAGTTATCTTCAGTAATGCAACACATGCAATACACTATATACAAAATATATAGACGCTATTATACAACAGTATCTAGAGCTAGTATGCCTAGATACTAGACACACACTGTATTTTGTTTAGAGTATATAAATACTCTAAATTTGCACATTTTAATGTGCACACACTGTACTGTGTTTAGAGTATATACGGGTTATGTGCACTGCTGGCTGAACCCTCAGGCTGCAGCTCCAGCAGCTGACAAACGGTGCTGAGCACTCCCTTCCCTGGGCCCCTTCTGGGGTGAGGTGGTGGGGGGTCCCCGAGCAACCAGGGCAATGGGCCCTGGTGCCTGAGGGAGTCTCTCAGCCCCCAAACTGTATCCTGGCCACACAGACACCCACCCTCTCTCTCTTTACAAGTGTCTGGTGGTGCAGCTCCTCTTGTATTGCTGCCACAGCTCCTGCCCACGCAGGCCTGTTGTTAATAATTGCTTGCTGTTAATGAATGAAGAGCTGGGTCTGAGGTAGAGGAGGGGCACAAGGTACTGCAGGGTTGCCACAGGCTCGCTGCCTTCAGCACCCAGCTCAGGCCCCACCACACACCTCGGGGTGCTCAGGCCATGGGAGACAAGGGGACATTGTGCCAAGGGGTCTGCAGGACCAGGCAGGAGAGGCCACGAGCTGGAGAAGCCTGGGTGCCCTTCACTGCCATGAGGAGAGGCACAGCTGCACACCCTGCTGCCTGCAAGGCAGGAGGAAGGGAGGAGAAACACAGAGGGATGGAATGACTCAGGTTTGGTCTCAATTCCCAACTCTTCCACAGAGGACTTGCCTGACTTTGTCTGAGACAGGACACGCAGATAAAACCACTCCTGCTCTGTGGAGAGGGCAAAGTGCCTTGGGGCTGGGGCTGCCTCCTGCCTTGCTTCTCACTTAGCAACCAGCACCCAAGCCAAATCCAGGTGAGGATGGGGAAGAGCAGCATTTGACAGAAGCAACCAACCATGGGAGGGACCTGGGTGCTCAGCAGCACAAGGTCCAAGGCAGAGGAAAGCAGTACCCTCCCTCCACGTGCTCAGAGGTATGGTGAGGCAAGGGGGCAAGGCAGGGCCAGTGCTTGGAGCAGCCTCTCCCTTTACTTCGCAACACGAGAAGGCAGCCACTCAGCCAGAATTAAACATCAAATTTATTGCATAATACTGTACTATGTACACACACATCGAAAATAAACATTTGATATAACTGTATATTTATCTTCAATGCTGCATTAGAAAGAGGCTGGAGGGCTCTCCACGTAGCCCACAGCTTGTCTTAAAAAAAAAAAACCCAGAAGCCTCAAACCTTTTGTTACGAGGTGCAAAGTTCAATACGGTCTATTGAACATGGTGCATAAATACTATGTCCTAATAACAAGTCAATGTCAAAACCAGCCTAGGCTTAAAATGAGATTCACATCAAGACCTGAAAAATGGGGGGGGGAAGGGAAGAATCATTCAAATTTCCTGTAATGGGGTGGCGAGACTGGGGGGAAAAGATAAAGGCTCTCCAATCACACAGGATAGATTTAGGTAGTGATTTTTCTACATTTCCAGTCTTGTTCATACAGATTGTCCTTCAGGTCCCCCCCAGCAAAACACCTGTCAAGTGAAGGGGCTGCTCTCAAACAGCAAAATAAATTAATCCTAGCTGCCAAAATAAAACCAATCTCTGAGAGCTATCGCTCAAAGGTAAATCTCGTGCTCCTTTCTTTGACCTGACCAGACTGGAGAGCTTATAACACCTCATACATTCGCACACCCCAGTGCACGCACATTCACACACGCACACGTGACTCCTCTGGAGGAGAAAGGCGGCAGTGGTAAAAGCAGCCACCTCACCTTGCATTGGAATAACAAGTCTGTTTGGATGGAAAAACAGGGCTCGGCAAAACCCACCCATGTAGCTTGTAGACTTGCCAAGACAAACGTGCAACACAAGAGAGGCAATTTGAGAAACCCATTATTACAGGTAGGGTTTGTCCTTCCACAAGCCTGAACATAAACCCCGCTCCAGAGGACTCTGAGGCTTCTTTAAGAAGACATTGCTTGGAAACAAAATACAGGACAAGTGAGGAAAAACAAGCCAACCCCCCCTATACCATATTTTCTGTGAGACAGCCTAGTGCAAAAAGAGCATCACTAATGCACTGCTCTGGGGGTCACAAATGACATCCCAGACCAGTACCATCCACCAAGGACCAAAGGGCAGAGGGGATATTTCTATTCAAAGCAAGCAAGAACCAGCTTGCATTTAAAAAGGGAGGAAAAAAGGGTGGGGGGAAATCACAGCTTTTCGAAGAGGAGATTACCCAGAACCTCAGTTTCCACCATAACCTAAATGCAAGGAAACACCAAAATATTTAAACTAAATTAAAAGCAGAGGTAAGTGTGTGTGTATATGTGTGTATAGGGGCAATAAAAGCAAACTACAAGGAATTGCCAGGAGGGCAGCGATGTCAAGTTGGAGGGAGAACAGAAATGCCCATTGAACTGATTTCATTCAGTAGATGAAGAAATTCAAAGCAACAGCCTCCCCCTACTGAAGCCCCACAAAATGCTGGCAGCATCAGGCTGAGACTGCTTCATCTCTATTATTATTATTATTATTTATATTTTCCCAAAAAAAAAAAAAAAGTTCAGATCCATTCCCTTACAAAAATAAAACCCAAGTGTCTGTGCCTCTCCTGTGCCGATCAGGCCAAGCTGAAGCCCTCATAGTGATCGATGGCTTGCACCAGCCGGGCGCTGAGGATCTCCTTGCTGCTGTACTTGGGCAGGTCCAGGAGGTTGTAGCAGGTGTGTGCCACGGGCAGGTACTGCTCCCCGCTGGTGGTGGACTGGATGATGATGCGCAGGCTGGACATGCCGTAGATGGGAATGCGGTCGCTGCCCGTCAGAAACACTGGGAGAAGCAGAGGGAAGGTCGGACAGTTCAGGCAGGTGACCTCCCACCAAGGGCTGCACCTGAAGGCAAACTGCATCCCCACCTGTGCCATGAGACCCTGCCTGGAGGGGCCGAAGCCCTGACCGAACTCCATGCAGGGCACGGCCGCCTCGCAGAGCTGCAGGAGAGCAGGGCCGGTGCTGGGCGCACAAATGTGTAAATCGAGCAGCCCACAACACACCCTTCCCTCGAAAGCTTCCTCTCACGCCTGGGCAGGTTAAAAGTAGCAAAGCCAAGCTGCCTGATGCCCACGGCAGGGGCACATCCCTGTGGAGAGGGGGCCCAGCCACCCTGGCCCTGAGTGTGACCTTTGTGCACCGTCCCTGCTATGGTGGTTTGGGGAGGGGATGGGGGGAGTTGCCCACTAAAGCCTCTGTTGTGCACCAGGACTCCTGGGACCCTCTCTACAGCTGCTGACTTCAGCCTGCACAATTTGGCTGAGCCGCTTTTCCAACTCAAACGTACAGAACAACTGAGCTGACTGATTGTTGCTTTGGAGAGAAAAAAAAAGCCTCACACAAAAATGCTGGCCTTTATCTTTCCAGCAGTCACAGAATCACAGTGGCCAAGGTTGAAGGGATCTCTGGAGGTCCTCTGGACCAACCCCTCTGCTCAAGCAGGCCAGCTAGAGCCAGCTGCCAAGGACTGTGCCCAGCTTTTGAGTATTTCCAAGGATGGAGATGCTTGGGTAACTGGGTAACTATGCCTTGTTCTCCACCCCCACAGGGATGAGGTTCACCTGATGTTAGGTGGAACTTGCCAGTACCTAGTGAGAGACTGCACGGGATCCTGCTCTGCAGGTATCACACCCAGTGATTCTGAGGGTAAAAAATGAACAAAAAAGAAGAAAAAAAACCCAACACAACAGAGGGGAAAAACCAGACTGGACTAGCAGATAACTCAGGAGATAGCCATTTATGCTGGATCACCCTCTAGCACTTAATGCAATGAAACTGCAGACACTCCTACCTGACTCTTCAGAAGACAGTCTGCACCACTGCAAGATACTTACAGAGAAATTTCTTCTTCTTTTCCAAGGGAAATGCATGAAAGGTCTCCCAAAACATTCTCACAGTTGGGTGTGTGGCAGTGTAGTCTCCCTTATAGACAGCACTCTATTAAAAACCAAAACATCACATCATTTCAGTTGGCAGTAGAAAGCAAAGACTAAGCAGAACCCACACCTCATCTTTTCTAGTATCTGACATCAATCTGACATCAGATCAATGCCTGACAGTTTTGAAACAGAACCCAGGGTGGGTGCTGGGCAACAGCATGGCTCAAAGACCCAGCAAGGGTTCTCCCAGCAAGGAGGAAGGCAGATATAAGGCTTCTGCTGTTCAGCTCATTACAGGTGTCACAAGAAATCCCGGACTGCCTGTTCACAGGCTGAACTCATGAACAGGATCACATGTTCTGCACTGCACAGCCACTTTTACTGCTGAGGTTGAGACAGAGTGAGTAACTTGCTCATCCATGCATTTTGAGAGGATACAACAGCCCTTACTTGGTGCCCAGATTCCCCTGGCACCCTTGGTTGCGCACTTTTTGCCCTTGTGCAACCGAGTTTCATGGTAGGTGAAGACCCTGACTTTGTGTCTTCACTTTCAGGTTTCACCCCCTTAAAACAGCAGATGAACTCCTTCTCCCTATCCTTCCTCACCCTGAATTTCCTCCCTGACCTTTATCAGTAGCAAGACACCCCAGTAAGAAACTTTTCATGTGAATGACAGCAAGATGTACAAGGAGCATTAAAAAAAAAAAAAAAAAAGAAGACATCTATGAGTTATTACATCTCATGACTAATAGGCTAATACCCACCTCATACAACTGCACAATCCTGGTACTTGAGAAAAAGAGAAAAAAAAACAAGAAGGAAGCTTTACCTCCTCCAGTTCCTCCCAGTTGTAGTTACTGTTTCCAACTATCATGGCCCTGAGCTCTGTGGGCTGGAAGAGTTCCAGGACTTTCCCACCACACACTTTCAGGAAGCCAGTAGAAAAGGCCGTGTACCACTCATGGATGGAGAGGTTGAAGATGTAATTTACGTAGGCTTCAACAAATTCTTCCCTATTTCATTGAGAGAAAGGGGGCAAAGCAAAGCACTTTTAATTGTATGCCAAAGTATTGTATGCCAGCAGCATCACTAAGTTTTCTTGTGTCTGTCTGTAATGTGTTTTGCAAACCTGAGTCTCCAACAGGTTCAACCCACTGCCCTCCTCTCACTGAGTCACTGCAACACAGGACAAAATATTCAGCAGCAATTACCACCATGTGCCAGCTTATTCCCCAGCAGCCCAGGTTCTGTACTACCAGTAAACCCACCCAGTGGCTTTCCATGCAGTTGGCCACAGAGCGAGTGACAGCAAGCACTGGGGAGGCGTCAGGAACGGAACCCTCTTCCCAATGGGACCCATGACCGGCACAGGGGCTGTGTTAAGCAAACAGCAGGATGCAGTCACCAAAAGAACATTTTCCCCCCCTTGGCCTCGCTCCTGCAACCTTCTCTTTAGGAAGTCCAGGAGATAACCTACAGATCTTCTCAGTCTGCAGGTGTCCAGGGCTACTCAGCTCAGGGGTCTGTGCCCACCCACCGTGACCTCAGCCTGCCAGGCTGCTGCGAGCAAGAGCTCTGCTGGGGAGAGGGAACAGACAGTGCCCAGCAGACTACCACTTCCAAAACCAAGAGCCTAGTTTAGTGAGTTTTCAGAGGCAGCTCCTGCTGACTCAGTCCCCAGTGAGTCTCACCAGTGGTTCAGCACTTCAAAAGCCAAAGTTGTAGTCCAGGGGCAGACTGAGGAAATCCTGCTCTGAAGTCTGCATCTGAAACTGCCAATTCCCTCCCCAAAGAAAGTTACCAAAAGAAATCACCACCCCTCATAACAGAGCAAGAAAATAGCCTAAGAAAGCACAGAAACCTCCTCTTCAGCCTTTGCACTCTGCTTAAATAAATATATGGCTTATGCTCTTTGAGTACATGGCAAAGAGAATGATTCCTGTCAGAATGACAACCCTGGTTTCCTTCAAGGGTTCCCTAGAACAGCATTAAAGACAACATTCTGTAGTCACCGGAAGAAACTTGTGGCAGTCTCTGGACTTCGCTGGGAGGTTAAACAAACAGCTTCATTCTACTCTCCTGTTCCTATTCTCAAAGCACTGAGTGCAACCCAAGAATTTAATTTGTGCAGTGACTTAAAATATTTCCCATTATTAATTTTTTTTAACACCTGAATAGTGCACCAGACAACGTGGCAAACTGGGATGTGAAACCACTGTGTGTGGCGGCATCATTTTTGCCTGATGTTTAAGAGCAGCTCCCACCTGCACTCAAAAGACAAGCAGATTGGAGAACAGCACTGAGTCCAATACCTCAACCCCTAGCTGAGGAGGTCACAACTGAAAGAAATATTTTGGTCTTTTGGTGGAGGAATTCTCAACACATACACTATGCAAGAACAGCAAGGAATCAGTGAAAAAGTAAAGAAGATATAAAGGAGCAGACTGGCAAAAATGGAAACTGGGAATAGGAAATCATATAGCAAAGGAGGAGTTATTTTCCAGTGCATTTGTTTTCCTGTAATTTTCCCAATAGTCACCTGAGCATTAGGGAAATCCTAGCTGATTAAGCACTTAACTGCTGCTTAATACCTCTCTGGCTGTTACGGTCACGAACCCTTTTTTCAAGAACATTTTATGAACTCCAAAGTAGAGAGGGAAAACGCAAGCATTTCCCACTTGGCATTTTTCAGTGAAAGCAATCCTATGCATTCTTCAGTTCCCAATGAACTCTCCTCACATGGTAAGGGCAGTGCCTGGAGACGTGCACACAGCAAACTATTCAGGCCATGGGGACAGCAAATTGGTCCCTGGCCTCTGAATGTAAAGTGGAGGAAGTCATTAAAGCACTGTAAGGTAAACTGACAGCCATGTCTAGACTTGGATTTAGAGGTTAGCTTGAGTTCAAAACTCCAGTCAAGATGAAGCAATTGAATTTTGGAATGTTAAGCTGATGGAACTACACACTAGCCTTTCTCCTTAAGGATTTTTTTCTCATGTTTCCCATCCTGACTTAATAAACAGTTGCAGGAGCTAACCTGGGTGCTCTTCCCAAACATTTGTTCAGCTAAAATATTTGTTCCTTTCTACTGTATGGCATAGAGTAGAAAAATGGTTGTTTTTGTCTTGAGTGTATGATGTGCCCAGCTTAAACACCTAAAGGGTACTATCACTGCCATTTTCATCTTTCCTTGACTGTTGCAAGGGTAAATTAAACTCTCCTCTATTTACCATCCTCTTCTTGCAGGGAGACAGAATTACACTGCTCCATCTCCCTGTAGGTTTTGCATGGAGGCAGCTATTTAGCTGTGTCACTGCACCATGTTGGGCAGTAGTAAGGTAGGTAAGGAGGTAACACAGACAAAGCTTTTGTTACAGCAATGGCTTTAGATGGAATCAGAACCCTTTTAAATAATCGGATTAATAGGAAATTACTTCATCTCCAGGCTTGTCAGCAAGGTCTTCAGCAATCCTAGCACAAGCCCCTACCCATGCTGCTGAGTAGTCACTGGATCACAATGTTTTGCCAGCAGAGTAAGAATCTGAACAGTGCTTCAAGTAATAATGGCATTTATAGAAATCCCATTACAGGATTATGAGAAGAAAATAGTTCAGCAGCTGGAAAGAAAAAAGGGGGGGAAATGGTAGCTGTGCTAGTAATAACTCTAGGGTGTTCAGTCAAACGGAAAGGAATCCAAGTACAGTAGGTCCTAATGGCTGTAATCAGGGATGGTGGTCAGGGTGTACTCAAGGGAAAGTGTTTCCGGCTCCAGAATTAAGAGTATAAACAAGTTTGCCGGATTCAGTTTTGTTGGTCATGCACAGTTCCTGTCTGAGCCATCAGGGATATTAACCTTCAAGGGCCAAAACCGTACTGCAATCTCTGCTTAAAATGGGAAAACCGCCAGGGGTCTACATGAAAGCCTTTTACAGGGAAGATGTTGGTCCAAAAGTGTGTGGGACATTTTCCAAACATGGGTGGAAAGATGATGGAAAAGTTGCTTTTTGTTCAAGTGCCACTAAATGCCTGGTAACTTTCAAACAACTGGCCTTAGAATTCATTTGTAGTGACTTCTAATTCTCTCCTGCATTTCACCTCAGATAAGTTTTCTGTGGCATTGCACCTGACTTCACCACAAGTAGGAGTCCACCCCCCCACACATCCCGCTTACCTATTGTCCTTCTGCACCAGAATTTTATCTCCATCTTCAATCAGGTTCTTCTGCTCTGTCACACCATAGCTTTCCCTGCAAATCTATACAAAACCAAGAAATCAATTTTACCAGAAGTACTTTCCAGGGCACATAGAGAGTTCTCCTTCATAGTTGATGACTGGCATGTAAAGGGTGGGCCAAAGAAAACTGTATATGCAGAAACTTCTTTTCCCTGCTCTGTGTAGCACACCTACCTTCCATCACTTATATTTGCTGTAGGACTGCTATTAAGTCTAAATGTGGACTCAGAAAGGAAGTAAAAATTATTCTTTTACATATACTTCCTGTGAAAAAAAAACAAAACAAGAGATTGGTAACTAAAAACCTGATTTTTAACTAAGCCCACAAAATCTGGCAATAAAAAGGACTCCTTTTTATAACACAAACTCAGTAGTTTAATTCATCTGCTGTCACTGGAAAATGACATGACCACAGATGTCTTCCTGCTTTTGCCACACCTGGGATGGCAACAGTACAAACCTAAGTTTTGTACATTAACTGGTTACCTGAAAAAATTGAAAAAGGGTCAATTTTCAAGTTGCTATTCACAAAATAGGCTCTGATTTTGACATGCAAGATGAGTTATTAAAGTAAGGTTTGGGATATCAGTTATTTATTCATGTCAAAGTTTTGGCAGATATATCTGTCTTTATATACTATGCAATATACAGTGCAAGAAAGAGTGTAAGAATGCCCTTTTGTGTGAAAAAGAAAATGGAGAAAAGTCTCTTGTGTTACTTCAAAGGTATCCTTTTTTACACAATTTGCATTATCACCACTGTGGTTTCATTACCTCATCCAAATTACAGCTCTGTTTTGCAGGAGACAGTCAGATGCAGGTCTGACTCACTCCAGAGATAAGTCTGATCTAAGAGAGTTTATGATGTGCTCTCATTTATGAAACAAGGATATGGACACAACTCTCCCAGCTCAGCAAGGTTCTTCACAGTGAGCAGCAGTTTCATGTACCCTGTTTTTACCCCACAGCAGGTCCTGGACAGAGAGTCAAAAACCCAGTCAAGCTGATGAACCCATCACTCACAGCCTGTTAGAGCAATAGGACTTTGAAGCTAAGACATTGAAACATGGATGGCCTTACTCTGCCCAAGTCAAGAGGAGAACACAGCATGAGAACAACAATGCCATTTCTCTCTGTGAGGTTCTAAATGTCTGCTCATGTTGAGGGCTGTATCTGATATTATAAAGTTTATTGATACTGATCTCTTAATTTCAGGGAATCTCTACTGTGTAATAGAAACTGTTCCATCTAGATTACTAGTTATTAAAGAAAATCCTTTTACTGCTGCAGGAAAGCTGACTACCTCAGCAAGACTCTTAGCAACAGCCTCCAGCATTTTGTTCCTAAGAAAGTCTGGCCAAGTACACACACTACAAACTTTCAAGTTAAAAAGAAAAATATTAGTATTAGGACAGCGAGGGAAATTCTAAATTGCGTTAGCATTTCAAGAACTGACCTAGTGATGTCAAAACCTAACTTCTATTTCCAAGGAGGATTTTGGAATTACCTCTCACTATGTAGCATGAGAAGTTAGCCACTGGCATTTAAGACACATATCACAGTGACAACACAATTATTTTGAAAACCACTCTGCTTAATCTACTTACTACCTCAGTTTTTAGGACCACATACAAAAGAAAAAGGGAGGCTGGCAGCAAAGAACATTTTAACATTAACATGGGGTATGTGCTATAGGCAAGTACATGAATAAATAGACAGGCTTCAACTGTACCATAATCACAGAATTGATATATTAAATGCGTCTTACTGTAAAATTCAAACAGAACGTCTCTTCCACATCTTCCCCAGGGTAATCTAAAAGTTGCTGAAGACTCCTACACAACAGGTAGGGAAAGAAATAAGAGAAAAAAAAGATCAGATATTCAAAAAGCCATACGTCTAACAGGGAAAACAAATTCAGCAGAAGTAAACAGCATCATACATCTGGGTAACAGGATTGCAAGAGAAAGAATCTGAGTCACACCAAGTGGTAAGAAAGAAATATACCTCAAATAAAGAGATGTTTTGTTGGAAGCAAGATAAATGCCAATCCATGGAAATTATCAATACAGTCCATGCCTACCTAGCACATGGATCACCTTTAACTGGATTGTGTTTCTAGTCCTTAAGTTCTAGTTTTGTCATCACCACACAAAGGTCTGAGGGAGTGGAAGAAGAGAGAGTGGTGGATTATATCTGTATGTAAAAAATACTCTCATATAAAAATATATACCCATCAGGTAAAAAATACTCTCCTATCTCTCAAAAACTGCTGTCTTCCCTGGCATTTTATCTCGTTATTATAAATACAGCTGTCCCTTGGTGCAGACAAATCAGATGGCAATTCAGAAGAAAAAAAACTAAGACAGCAGTCAGACAGTGGGATCTTGACTTCTCAGTCTTAGAGAGAACCAATATCCCCATGCAATTAGGCAGAAAGATTTAATACACCATTTAGAATAAGTAATTCTTTCGCTCTATTCAACTTCTTCCTGGCATGGGAGCAGGTCACAGCTACACTGGCTCAGGGATGGGATGATTCACAACATTACAAACAGTTCCCACCCGGGGCTACATCACGAGACGCATCGCAGATCTAACCCAAGCCTGTTGGCTTGAGGGACAAAGGCTGAGGCTGTGATCTGGGATCATGCATGCAACCACCCCTGTTCTCAAAGGGGTGTGCTAGGTATCTTTTGGCTTTGTTGATACCCAGTTTCAGGGGGTCAGGAGGGTGGGAGACTAAGCAGGTGGATCCAACAGCCTGTGGGAGAGAAGTCTTACATGAAACTCACCATCAGCTCATGTATTTTGCTACGATCACAGTCCCCCAAATTAACCAGTCACTCAAAAGGATCAGGAGGTGTTTTATTGATCAGCTTTTACCTAGTTTGGCATTTCTTGTTCTCAGCTGGATGGTCTCCCTTCCCAGAAAAGCTGCAAATTTTGTTTTTCATACCTTCCTTCCGTAGGGGATAGCTCCTTCAAATCCTCTAGGCAGGGCTTCACGTTCAAGAGTTTTTTGTACAGAGCCAAGGGAAAGTGAAGGTCTACCACTGTGAAATTGTATATTGCAAGACCACATATGATGCCAATCAAGTGAAACCAGTTGTGTTCTACAAAACACTGCAAAACCACACAGAGAAATCCTGATGAGACACACTGGTGCAATGCACAGTACCCTTTCCTCCACACACTAAAAAGATAGCCTCTGCTTTTCCAACTGGGACAAAATCAGAGAGTTCCCATCAGGTCCCAGTGTTGTTGTGAATTCCTTGCTGGCATGTGGCACAGAAATAAAGATTCGGAAACCACATTCAAATACTTCTGTAAGCCATGGTTAGCTGCGGAAACAGCAACAGCAGCTTTCCACCTTATCTGCCTTTTATTTCCTTTTTACGTACCTCTGCATTTAGACACTAATAACAATTCTCTCCCTATCGCCCACCCTATTAACAATTAAAAGCTTTTCCATAACCACTGTGCCACTCAGGTAAAGATACCAGCACAGGTGCTGGCATACTGACCTTCATTTCTTCACATATTTACTCTCACACTGGTATGTCAGTCACAGACTGGCTGCCTATGTTTGTTAAATGTTCCGAGTACGTGACTCATTCTCAGTGCTTGCACTGTCACTGTTCTTAGTCTCAAAAGACTTGTTTTGTAGCACTAACATGAGGAGTGGTTGCTCTATTTCCTTCCTTGTAAAATATAATTAATAAATTAAAAAGAACCCCACCAGGGCAGCTACAACTTAGGGGAAGACTGACAACATCATTTCCCCTCTGGCTACCTAGGAAGGTGAAAGGACATAAGCTACCATCTCCAGCATACTGCTGTCTGACACATACAGATCTTGCAGTCCAAACTCTCCCAAAACAAACCACCTTCCAGTACAAACCATGTTTTTTGCTGCTTAAGATCTTCCTCACATAAAGCCATAACAAGTTTAGATCCTGAAGGCGATAGTGATGCATGACTAAGTGGATTGGTTGCACTTATGTGAACAGCAAGGGAGGCACAGAATTCTAATGCCATTGCCAAACCTCTCGTTCTGTACAACAGCACATGACAGTCACATTCATGAGAACAAGAGTTCTATTAACTGTCATCATCTGACCCTTAGTACAAGTTTTATTATGGGATAAGAATAAAGAGAAAGAGCCAACTCCTTAACAGGCACAACCCCTGCCATTCTACTAAAGTTAATGGACCTATTTACACTAACTGAAAATAGAGTTCACTTTGTATTGTGGGTGGAAAACAAGAGGAACATAATTTCTTTCCCACAGTTTGCCACTAACTGCCTTGACATTTAAATGCAGCATAATATTTCAACCTGCATGTACAGAGGGCAAGGGCTTACCGTGTCTGAGAACCACAGCAGGTTTGACTCTGGGTAGTAAGTAAACATGCCATAGATAGGGTTGAGGAGTTCTTTTAAAAGCAGGAGGAAAAATTCCTTTGTCACTCCCCCAGCGTCGACAGCTTCTTCACCATCAAAGATGACCTGTAGAAAAAGCAGGTCAGCAACAGGGATGAGGAGCTGAAACTGAGTGAATCAGATATCTTTCTAATTGGAAGCCATGCAAAGCAATTTGTCCAAAGTACCCAAACCCACTGCAATCTGTGAGCTCATTTCAGTGCTCTGCTTGCAGGGACAGAAAGGCAACAGCAGGTAGCCAATCAGATATTTTTAAAGTGTTTAACTCCTCATGCAAATCATAAATAACCACCTGTTGTCCCAATAACCAAAGTAGCAACATGAGAGCAGCTACTGAACTCTGTAGCAATCTCTCAGAGACAAAACATGTCCTATTGTAAATAGCCTGCAGAAGGGCAAAACAGAGACTGAATATCATGGAAATGTTTCCTCCCCTGGCCCTTGTACACTACATATACTGGGAGAAGAGAGTAAACGCTCTGCTTGCCACCTTGTAAGCTGCCCCCCTGCCAAGATATCCCAGGAGTCAGGAAAAAAAACCAAACACTCTAACTTTGCCTGGATTAGATCAAATATTCCTGTGTGCTATACCTACGCAGCAGCTACTATACACTGGTGAAGTGGTAATGTGAATGTCCGAAAGGCTGCAGAAATGTTTGCTGTGTGAGAGGGTGCTAAAGACGTAGGGAAAACTTACTTTAAGAGGCTTTTTCAAATCAATGTCTGAATGGATGCTCAACTCCCTTAGAGCATCACCAACCAAGTTACTCCTGCGAACGTGAAGTACCAGGAAAGGGCTTCTGGCCAGCAGAGGCTCCAGTGTGAGAAGCATGAAGACATTCTGCAAATTTGCACCATTTATTGCAACCTGTAAATAAAAGAGAGGAGAAAACCAGCCACTGCTCAACTTCTTTCTTCCTGTGAATGGAAAACAGTTAACAAATATATGCCTAGTGTTCCCTTCTGTGTTGCGCTTTTATTTTGGTTTCCCTAGGGTTCAAGAATCACATGCTCACTCTGCACAAGTGTGTGTGCCTGTATGCCTACCTGTTCCCCCACCATTTCTCATTCCAACATGTTTTCAGTCCACTGATCAATTCACCAAGTCTGAGTAACAAAGAGATCAAATTCCTGAGCGTTTTCTTTTACATTAGGCACATGTGTAGTAAGAAGATTTATTCATGCTCTTACTGACTCCAGAAACTAAGTGTAAACACACCCTGATTAGAGTCAGAGAGTCCATGGGGGAAAGCAGTGCTACAAATACACCAAGCAAGGAGCCAGCTGACAACTGCATCCGGCAAGGCCACCAGGGAACCCACCACATACAATTCAAAGCCCTCATCCACACAGATTTTCTGGAGTTGGTCAAGGCATAAAGTCCAGGCAAAGCTTTGGCCACACATAATATACTTCTTTTCATGCACTGTCCATGGTAAATGGCAAATTCAAATTTGAAAATTCAGTTTCAAAGTCAGTGAAACCTGAGACAGAAATCCACCAGAAACCAGGCTTCCTCCAGTCAGCACTCACAGCACTACTGGTTTCTCTAAGTGGTTGCCTTCCTGAAGATCCTGTCTCAGGGGACAGCAAAACGTTTACCAGTCTGCTCTTCTGCCAAGATAAGGTTGATACCCTCCTCTCAACAGTGCACTGCTCACAAACTGGGCAGCTGAAAACATATGCAGAAAGGTGACAAAATGAAAGAAGGAGAAGGTGCCTGCAGCATCTGAGCATAGGCCAAGCCTCTTCTGCCTTGCTGCAGGCTACGTGCCCAAGCAGCCATAGAAGAGCTAAGAGATGGTTATTACCTGGAACCAGCACCATGGCCACAAGTAACTGTGATGAGTTTTCCACCCCAAAGGAATCTGACAACCAAGGACCTCAGCAAACTCATTTCACAAAGGATGGGACTAGTCCCAGACCCAGCTGCACTAGATGAAGGGTCAGTGCTTTGCCTGTCTCAGAAGGCCCCTGCGTGAGCAATGCCTGGTGCTGGGACATTTACACGGGCACAGAGGCCAGCTGCCCTTGTCACAGCCTGGCTGTGAGCTGGCTTGGCTGCCACCTACAGGGTAAGGGTGCTGGAGCTGAACACCTCCTGTCAACACACTCCTGAAGGGCCTCAGGTCTGTGCCCTTCACTGTAAACAGGTGGGGGGCTGCTGACAACAGCTCCTGCTTGCAACCACAAGCAGCACCAGGAGCTGGTCTTCAACACCCACTTCGTTGTTAGAAGTAACAACCACTCCTTCATTAGGCAGAAACTTGAAAAACTGTCCACTTAACAGAGAGTTTGTCTAATTCTCCAGTCTTACAGTTCCTCTAATAGAGACCTCATCTTATTTCTTATCCTTGGACTATCATAAATACATAGTTACTCCTTCCCTCTATGGTTTAAATTTCCTGCACATCTGGCAGTTTTGATGTTGCCAAACATTTTGAAGTGAAAAGACACCAAGCACTGCCTTTGCAACATCCAGGGCAAAGAGGTTTTCCAGTTACTACGCTCTCCTGTGTTATGGAAACAATGTGATGTACACACCAACTCCCAGCTGACACCCTTTCCAGGCAAGCACCACTGCAAAAGGCAGAGAAAGAAATGTGGCAGGAAAATTGGGAGAATGATTACCTGCATCTGTAGTTCTGCATCTGTCTGTAACATCTTGGTCTTAGCCTGAGCATCAAAGATGAAAGGATAAGAGCAGAGGGTCACAGCATCCTGCAAGAAAGGCAGGCAGATTGGTTCCTATCTACAGCTTTCAGAACACTTCTCTAAATAAGAGTACTGAAAAACAATTTTCTTACCTGCATGATAGATGGTCTTACTTTCTGCGAAAGAAAAAGAGAAATATGAAAATCTTTTACTCCTTTTTTTGTGTCTTTTTTTTTTTTGATGGATTTATTGAAAGGTAACTCAGTAAATTTTTCTCCTCTGGGACCAACAACCCATTTTTTTTGCTCTTAAAAAAAAGCATGGGGACTTTGTTTCAAGAAAATGCACAAGTCTAACACAAAACATGAACATTAAACGTTACTAAGAGGACTAACTGGCATAGAAGCCTATGTTAGCCTGCCACAAGTGAAACTTACTCTTAGGAAGAAAACCAAAAAAACTACCCCCAAGGTAGAAAACATATGAAACAATAGGAGAGACAATAAGGCCAACAACATGGCAGTACAAGAACACCCCTGCAATGCAAGTTACTCATCATTAGCCACATCAACACATTTTTAACTCTTTTTAACTATCACTTACATAAATTTGAGTCAGTATTTCGTTGTTCTGCTCACTAAAAGTAAGCACACAGCAGCACTACTTAAATGATGGAAAGGAGGGGGTGGGGGGAACAGCACACACAACATTAAGAAAATCCATAAAAACACATACAAAAATTATCGCTACAGTCAGGTTTTAGTCTTGCAGTATCTCTTGGCAGATGTTTTTTGGTGGTTTTTTTTCACACCTGGGATTCCTTTCCTTGCTATAATTAAATAATCTCACTGGGTTCCCACACAGCATATTCAAGCCCTCAGTTTAGTTATCTCCTTCCTTACAGATGGGAAAGTGAGACATAAAAGAGGTGAAGGGTCTTACCCAAGATCACCCAGCAGGTTACTGGAAGAGCCAGGAATAGAACCCACATCTCTTGAGGCTTGGTTCAGTCCCCTAGCCAGAACGCCACTGCCTCCTCTTACAGAGCAACATTTTAAGATCACTGGCTACATTATTCACAATACCTGCCTAAACAGCAGAAGTAAAGGGTAAAAATTATAATTTTAGAATACAGGACTTGGCTCCTGAGGTCTCGATAACATTAAAAGGATCCAGTGACTGAATTAATCCCCTTGTGCAAGGATTGAATGAAATTCACACAAATAATCACAGAGACTGTTGCGTTATTAAATACTGTTTAGCTCCAGCTCTTCTGACAGCCTTATTTTTAAGCCAATTTTGTCAAGTCACCAAGTACTCAAATCTGAGAGACTTAATGTATAGATGCACCTATACTGAATCGATTATACTCTCATTAAGGATATAAAAAATACAGATCTACCACCAGAGACACAAACATGGACAGCTATATCATGACTATGCATAAAACCTCTTACCATTCCAGCCTGTTGCAAGAACCACATGAGATAATCCTCCTGAATGTCCACCAAGTTGGAAATCTCAGGGATATAAAACTTATCATATTCCACATGTTTAACCTTCTGATTTACCTAGTGAAGAAAACAGATGGTTTTTAATGTATGGATATATTCAGCACTTTTCTCAGAACATGCAGGCTTGCTTTCATAAAATCAATTATAGCAGCTTGCAAAGAAAGGATGCAGAAAGTCTTGCAAAAACACATGGTCTCTTATATTTTAGTAAAAACCAAGAAGAATCAAGATAAGCCTCTTTCTGACTTATTTTAGCTCCCTCTCCTCCTCACAGAGACTCCCCAGCAACAACACAGTGGTAGCAGAGACCGCCAAGAGACAGGTATTTTGTGATGCCACAGTGCACACAGTCTGGTGGTTCAGCAGAAGCACTCTTTGTATTTCTAGTGTTTGAGACAGGTCTAAGCAATCTTCAAGTACCTTGGATTCAGGAAAACCACCAACGTCTTTCCTAAGTGGTATCTTGGTGGACAGTGACACAGCTTACAAGCCAGAGCCCGTGACCACTGTGCCCCTGACAAGTGGCAAAGGGCAGACAAGACTGAATCATCTTGAGCTGACACACGCCCAGGCTTTCCCCTTACCTTGTGGAGTTTCTCCAGGAGTCTGAGAGCAGCCGTAATGTAGCTGCTGAACAGGACTGGAATCAACAGCGTCTTCCTTCCACTGAGGAGGTAAACCACTGCACCCTTATACAGGTCCACTAGCCTGAGGAAATATCTTGGGCACACTTGAGACCACCAGTTATCTGGAAAGCAGAGGACGTCAACATAAACCTGAATTAAAGGACAGAGTAACCCCTAAATAAGAGGTTAGAGCTGAAAATAGAGGAATACACCTGAAGACTCTTTAAAAAAACTTCCTTATTTCTGCTTCTGGAGGTCTGAACGCATCACAAGCATTTTACATGATGAGATTTAGCACAAGGCAGCCTTAAGAAATAGAGTAAGCTAACAGGAACAGTAATAGCTCAACAACCATAAGTAACAATCATTAAGCAGCATATGTTCCGTTTGGCTCAAAATAAGCTCAGGAAAAAATATTAGAAATTAAAAGACTCAGAAGTGAGAGAAGAGTTTACTGTTCAGCTTGATCACAGACCATCAACACACTAAGATGTGTTTTCCCACATCTTATAAAGGACAAAATAACTTATGCTATATTTAGTATATTCTTTTATTTACCTTATACAGAAAGAATATTCTAAAGTGAACAATAGCTGATTAAATTTAAGAAAATAAGATCATGAATATAGGTGAACTAGATAAATTAGATTAACCTCCCTAGTAAGTGTTCTTTGAAACAATATTTTACTTCTAAATTAAAACAATTCTTAAACCAGAATTTTCTTTCTGATTTATCATCCACACCACCATAAATTTTATATGCTTTACATTATTGTAACTAACTTCCCATCTCTTACCTGCATGACACATTCTTAATATCCTCAAAGTTCATGTTTAAAATTCAAAATCTAATTCTTTCACATGGGAACAGAGGTTTTTGGGGGGAGGATTTCTAGAGTTGTTTTGTTTCCCAGATGCTTTTCAGAGGAGACTGCTTCATAACAACACTTATCACAAATTATATGCAACTGCTGCCATTGTAACAGCAGACCCAACACGAACATGTGACTGAAAAATCCTAAAGGAAATACTTTGTGTCCCAGTAGGATGCTGAGAGCAACACGGATCCCAAATGACAGACTCTTACCAAGAACTTTGCTGGGGTTGGTATCCAGACGCAGAATAGCCATTGCTAGAGGAAGCGTTAGAGAGATATAATACTTGGAGTCTTGGAAGGGTGGGAATTCAGGGAGAATCAGATAGATCCTCATTGCCTCAACATCTGGTGGAGAGCTGGACAGCTGAGGAATCAAAAAGCTTTCAAAGCTCTTGAGTACCTAGAGCAAAACAAAAAAGACAACTTACTCTGGTGATAGAGCACCTACAATGTGGGTGATATTTAAGAACTGATGAAATGGTCAAACCCTGTTTTAAAAGCCAAATCCAGAGTAAAAATACCCAAAGCTATAAATATTATAGTTAAAAGTGGTAAGGGGAACATATATGCTTTTATCCCACAGCTCTGCACTTCTGAAAGAAATTCTCTGAGTTAGAATAAATTATGCAACCATAAAGTACTCAACTCCTGATAGATATGTAGTAATTATTTACAAGTATAACATACACAGAATTAATTTCAACAGACATTCAAGTATTAAGTGCCATCTAAAAACAAGTCTTAAAGACACATTCTGAGAAGGTCAAAATCAGCCCAGGTCAATGGAGAAGTATCCACTGATACCATGAAGTGACTGGTCTTTAGATTTGCAATACAACCCTTCCCCGAAAATGCTGCTGGTACTGGCATGTTAGAGAGGGACAAAGCCTTAATTTCCCCTCTGAATACCCAAAACCTCAGAAGTGCATTACCTGGTCTAGGAGAATGGAGTGCTGAGAGTTCATCAGCTTCTCAAACAGCACTCTGGTTGAGTTTAGATCAATCCCTGGGATCTTTGGACTGGTTTTAAAATGTTCATCGATTCTTTAAAAGAGAAATCACAGACAGACAGGCCTAAGTTTAAGGAAGAGACATCATTACCCGTGTGTTGACACGACCTCTAGGGAATTCATAAGACCAGAAATAAGGCAGAAGTTGGAGTCTTCTTGGTAAAAACAATTCTCCCTTCTAAATTCCTCTGGGCCTTGGTTAGGGTTGGGATTCCAAGTCTTTGGTTTCTCCAGGACTCTTTCACTGACTTAAGAGCCTGCCTAGACAGGCTGGACTGCTTAAAAAAAAACCAAACTACCTGGTACCTATCATATGTACCAGGGTCCTCTGTGCTGTCTTCACATACACAACTGTTACAGCTAAATCTGCTCCACCATACCCAATAAGAAAAGAAACTGTCACACGAGGGCATCAGACGAGTGTTTTCAAAAGAAAACATGAAGATATTCAGAGTAGTAACTTTTTTGGTAATTCCTCTCTCAAAACTTTTTAAAGCTAAGCAACAACCACAATCAAAACACAACACAGTTGAGAACAGCCTTTGCATGGTCTTTAGTTGTACCAAACATGCTGTCCTTCCTCCTGTGCTTGAAAGGCTTTCATTTGCTCAGGCTACTTGTGTAAGAGGGATAATGAAGGCAAGCCTGTGGAAGACAGTAGTCCTACAGCCAGCCCTGGCAACACCAAAAGTCCAGTCCAGCAGGTGAGTTACTCAGCTGAGCATCAAGAGAATGATCAACATCTATAGCAGAGGCTCTCCCCACCACTGTCTGCAGCACAGCTGCACATAAACCCTTGCAGTTGCCAGTAAAAAAAGGTCATTGCTACAATTCCATTGACCTCAAGGGTTTTCCCAAGTCTGCCACTACTCATGCCAAGACAGACACTCTGTATTAGACACTCTGAAGGAAGAGGTAGCTATTAAAGAGGGGTTGCATTTGTCAAGTTTGATGGTGTGACTACAACAACACGGCAAGCTAAACATAGCCCGCTGTAGTAGAATGGCTATTTCCATCACAGCACAGGCACGTGGCTGGAAATAGCTCCCCCGAGACACACTGTGGTATGGAGCGCTTCAGGCTGTGCTGTACAAAAGCAGTAGTGAGGCAGGCCCGGTCACACGGCCACGGAGAAGCTGCTCTTCCATCTAACCCTGTGCACCACAATGCTGTACTGCAAACAGGCTCGTACGGCGTTAGGATACCAGGGGGATGTACTGGGGTGTTTCCATCAAGTGCACCATGAGGTAAGACTTCACATGTAAAGGTACAGTTAAATGCAGCCTCACCTCAGCGAGGCTTCAGAATTTATCATTCCTTTGGTCAAATATTTTCTGTAAAAGTTAACTCCTGCACTTGCCAGGGCATCGCTAAAGTGGAAGAAAAACTGCACTGGGGTGGTGAAGTCATAAACTCCACTCATTTCCACATTCAAAGGAGACGTGAGACTATTTAAAGTGACTCAACAACTTGGATACCTCAGTGAATGTTTTAGACCAACATGATGCAACTCTCCTGATGCAATAACATGCTGTCTTGTCACAACCCTAAGAGTAGAAACCATTGGGCAAGCAGAAAAACACAAGAATAATGAGTAAATTGTTTTCTTTTTAAGTTGGTCTTGGAATATATTATGCAAAGATTACTCAGAACAACTGAGGTTTTCTTCATCAGGTTACAGGTCATTTATTCATCACATCATCACAAAAATTTCTCCTCCTCCTCATCTTACACTGTTACCTCATCAGTATTTAGAGACACAGCCAACAGAAGCCCTCCCAACCCAGAGCCTTTGACTCAGCCGTGTATACCACATCCTTATCACCACTTTTTGTTGGTTACACACATTTGAAATTCCTCCTTTTGTAAGCAGGATGTTGCCTAGTAGAGAAGTGCTTCCATGCTGTCCCAGGTGTATTTTCAAGAGCAGCCTGTGCTGAAGTGTACTTCCACATGCACCAGCCCCCACCAGTTAACTCAGATGGGTAAGAGACTATTCAAATACCAGGCATAACTCATTTCCCTTAATGTCATATTTTAAAGATGATGATACTCATTTTGTAAGGAAAAATTACAGTTGTGACAACTCCCAAGAAATCTCTGCCTTATAGTACACTCACCATGCACTTTCTTAGACCATTTGCCTTCCTTACCCAGGTCTGACCACCCACTTCTTTAGGGGACACTCTGCCCCTATCTCCAGTCTGATCAAAAAAATCAAATCCCACTGCAGCAGTAAGCAAAGTAAAGGGATTCCAGTCTGCCTCAAGGGAAAGCCACACTTCTGGAAGTTTGTCACTTACTTCTTCTCCAAGAAGCTTCCATTCCAGCAGGCAGCTGATGATAGTATCTGGACAACACTACTGTTTGCAGCAAGAAGACAAAAGAAAACAGAGATACAAGTTAAGAGTGGATGTCCCAGCAAATCTCTTCAGCTCTCTTCCCTTCCTTCTATGGGAAACAATATCAGGGTTATCCCTTCAGAGGCACAGAGGGCAAGAAGTTCACTCAGGATCATGTAATGTCCCTCTTTGAAAGGAGTGTTAGCAGTGCCTCTTTTTCACCTGTGCTGCCCCTCTCATGGCAAGCACACTGGGGAAGGAACTTAATGAGTCTGTTCACAAATTCTTGCTGCTTTACACGAACTCTAAGCACACAACGAAAGACGACTTTAGAATCCATTTCCCACCCACCATCTGCAATGTTGAGGCAGCCTCGAGTTCCTCTGGTTTTGCTCAGAAGCTCTCACCTGGCAGCTTTGTGACTGGCAACTGTCCTCCCCTTGGAAACAACCAAGAACCACACTTGAAAAGGTTGCTAAATTTCAAGTGAAAGCATGGCACGGAAGCCAACAAAATTATTTCAATAGAACTTTCAACAAAAGGCTTGTCCAGTGCCACAATACCTACTTGACAGAATTAGAACTGTTCTTTTCTAAAAGCTTTTGCCTCCAGACATCTATAGTTTCATCATTTATTAAACAGGTGTAACGTGTTTCATTTATGGTCCGGAAATCATCAGCAGGCAAGGAATTCTGTGAGAAGATACAGATTTCAGCAAAGACAAGGCTTGTAAAACAGTTCCTACCTAACCATAATCTCTATTTTAATATATAACTGAAAGCTTCCTTAGTGTGGTCTCTGAAAAGGTTTGGTTAGGAAGTTGTGGCATTACTAAGAAGTTCAAAAGCATGAAGAGGTATGGAAAAAACCCCCACCATTTCAAAAAAGAGGAAAATAAAAAAATCAAAATATCATTTCCCTCTTAAATACTGCCCTACATAACTACAGGCTTAGTACATTAATTCTAGAACTATTTCCATGACTCATTATGTCAAACACTTATTGAAAGAAAAAAGAAGACAGAATCAGAAAAATCAAATTAGCACTGAGCCCTCTATCCTGCACAGGTTGACAAAATCCCAGTGTATGTGGTTCATGGCCCTGCACACTAATCATGCAGACCCCAGTGCCACAGGTGGAAAGCAGCCCCTTGCTTCCGATATGCAAAGACTGGACTGCCCTCCCTGCTGATCTAACTGAAATCAGGATCATTCCAAAGGCTTGGATGCACCTCTAAAGGAAGGCAACTTTCAGCCACTCCTCAAGAGCTGTAGAACAGTCATAGCTGGCAGGGTTTGTGTGGCAGAATGGACTCCAAAGCAACACTTCAATTTCAAAAGATTCTAGTAAAAACAAAAGATGCCTTGTGAAGGCTGGGACAGAGGAGCAGACCTGAAAAGATATTTCATTTGTTTTACCTCGTATTTGGAGCAAAGCACAAATGTTTGGTCTCCTCCAGAGAAGATATGTTTAACAATGTGATATTTACAGGCATCTGTTGAAGAAAGACACAGTTGTGTTAGAGGTTGATGAATGCAAGTCCCTACCGTGCTTTCTCCCCAACATTTGCACTGCCTGTACAGCTACAAGGAGCACCTGGATCCTTTGAAGGCCAGGTTGAAATCAGCTGGAACTCAAGCACTGTAGCACTTTCTTGAGAAGTACACAGGGTCTGGCAGGAAGGAAAAGTTGTCATTTTTAAACTGCAGTAGGGGCTTTAAAGAGAGAACAAAACCTTCAGAACTCACTATTAGTACAATTTCTGAAGTCTCAAGATTGCCAAATGCTGAGCTCTGCCACAAAAAGAGAAAGGGAGATGGCAGACATTAACAGAGAGAGCAAAAGATCACCCAGTAATTTCCACAGTGCATTTGGGGATTCTTTCGCTATTTCCAGAAATTTCATGGAACAATGTTAAGATGTCTTTAGACAGCCATGGGTGAAATGAAATTATTTATATCCAAATCGTGCATAGTACATACCAGGTTTCCCTGAGAGTTGCCCATTATGAGCTGCCCAGTGACCCTTGACGGGAGAGGGGCACTTAACATTGCAAGTGTGCCCCGTTCCCAGCTGGCCTCTTGTTCCACAGCCAAATGCATAGATCATTCCTGAAGAAGGCACAAAGGCTAAAGTGTGATGTCTGTAAGAGATGGGTACAAAGTCTGAGCCTTGTTTAATAATAAAGAGAAAAGCCACACCAAGAGAAAAAAAAAAATCACTAAACCCATCAAAACAAACAACAAACAAAAGCCAAACAAACAAAACCAAAACAAAACAAAATAATACAACCAAACCAACAAAGCAAAGGCAGCCTAAAACTTACTCTCCTGTCCCTAGGCCAGACACTGGTGCCAAGCAGCATCTTTACACAAGCACCAATGCTCAGTTTTTGCCACCTGATGGCACCAGTTTATGCAATGGAGCTCTTTCGGTGGAAGTTACAAAGAGCAGCTTGTGCCAGCACTGGGTGGGTATCAGGCTCACAGTATTAGCTTAGTCATTTGCTAAGCCTGTACCTATCAAAAGCCAACAACACACCACTAGTGTTACTAACTCGCTTTTCATGAAAGAGGCTGGAAACTTGTGACCAAACGGGCTGCTGCTCTGAACTCTTGCTGAATTATTAAGATGGAAAAGTATCTTTTACAGGTTCCAGCACAAGGTTCAACCCCAATTAAAAACCAATCTCCTTTAGAGGGTCTTAAAATTCTCATGTAAAGTAAATTTTAAACTTAGTTCAAAGTAAAATTTAAACTTATTTCAGTTTTGACACGGAGAATGCAGAAGTAGGACTATTCCCCCTATCTACATGACTCGGTATCAGCATTAACCTCCACCAGAGAAAATTTCTGACTGCACACAGGACTTACCTTCCACAAGCAATCTGGGATACTTCACTGCCCATTAGCTCAAGAACTCTTCGGGGGTTCACTTCGTCATTCATGGAGTCATGCCCCAGTTGCCCACAGGAACCTGCACCGAACGTGAACACCCCTCCGCTCTGTTAGCAAATCAAACAGCATAGTCTCCATTTAGGGACCCATAACCCAGCAGCATCTGACTCCAGTTTCAGTGCGAGCCCAAGCTTAGGTACAGATTGATGGGGATTTCCAAAGGATTCAGAAAAGAAACTTGGGTTTTGCTAACGCAGCTTCCAAATAAGCTACCTTGCCACCCATCAGAAATGAACAGAATTATCTTTAGGTATATCTACATTACAGAAGCTTCCCTCCATGATCACTAGATGAGTCTGAAATCCCACAGGGTTTAAACATGTCTGAGTAGCCAATACTTTACACACACCTTTGTCAGCTGCTGATCAAAAACACTGTGACTTTTTTTTTTGAACATGAGCTTCTACAGAACTAGTCTTCTACAACGGTGTTTTTCCCACAGGAATCCCTAAGTCAGCTATTTAATTCATTTTACAGTGGAAGACACTGAGGCACCAAAACAAGAAGTAACAGTTATGAAGTAGCAGAGGCAAGGCAAGAACTGAGAAGTTATCTTTCAAATCCTAGCCCTCTCCTCTGTTCACTGAGCTATACATGACTTGGAAGCAGCAGGTTTGGAATTGTAAACCTTTTGTAAATGCTGAGTGACTGTTTCATTTAAATACTCATTCATTTTGGCTTCCATCTTACTCCAACACACAATATCACTCTGTTTTCCAACAAAACACTATTTTCACCCCTTTGGATGTGCATGTTAATTTTTTTTTGCTCAAAGCTAATTTCTTTAAGCACTTCACCTGAGTTGTGCTATTCATTGCCATGGTTTATTAACATCATCATCTTCAAAACCAGTACAGGATCATGTTGGCAATAAATCTCAGAATAAATAATTAGGCTATACTTTCCACTTAGTTTCTTTTACTGGAATATAGTAAGGAAGGAATATCGTAAGTCAATCTGTTCTTTATTACCATTACCCAGGAAACTATTGTGAAACCATCAGTAGGCAAGACAATAGCCAGGGTTCCCAGGTCAGCATCTTTACCTTTGTCAGGACTGCTGTGTGTTCCTCTCCACAGCTGATGTAAACAACCTTCTGAGATCGCAACAGCTTCACATGGCAAGGGGATTCTCGGTCTGCATTGAAGACAAAGAAAATAAAAAAGCTGTTTCATAAACACAAAACCACTGGCAGTCTGACTTTCAGACTTGGTCTATGAGCACAAGGGAAGCTTAAACAACCATGGTGAAAAAACCCATGTCCTCGAGTACTTCACTGCCACTTTTCCTCTCCAATTCTTACAAGACTTGACTGACTCAAACAAAATTGTCAAGAGCAAGCATAAAAATGTTGAGAATCTTGCATAAACTCAACACACACTTGCCACATGGAGACAGGATGAGTGCAGCCTAGCTATATCCACCTTCAGCTTCATGCCCCATTTCAGACTCCTCAGTGATGACTGCAAACATTTGTTTCCAAAACCTTGCTTAGACCTTTTCCATACAGAACAACCCTGACACGTGGGAGACACTTGTGCAACACACATGACAAGCTGAATCCCAGTGTGTTTTTAATTACCTAGCCTTCCTTCTGTTGTCATCCTCTAAGCAGAAGATCCTCCTACCTGCAAAGGCTAATCACTGCCAACCATTAAGTGATGCTTTTCTCCTTCTCTCTGACATTCCTAATCATTTTAAGTGTGTCTTCGGGGGATGAACACAGTAAGCAAGGTTTTACTGATGTAAAAATAAAAGCTAAGCATTTCAAGGAGCAGTAGGCATCCCAAACCAGTTAGATACTAAGAGGAGCAGCTGCTTACTTCATACCAACAAAAAATCAGGTTCCTACCTATAGAAGTTGTCCACTTTTAAGATTCTCACCTAAGGAGTTATAAGGTGCTTTCTTCTGGTTAGTGAAAGGAAAACAGTCATATTTCCATGGATTTAGAATTGAGAGTAGATTTCTTCATTTACTTCTTTTTCTGTATTTTACCACTCTAAATCTTTCTTTTGACAGGAATGACACCTCTACAGCATAACTGCTTCAATAACAAGCACTGCAGAATCCCCCTCCCATGTTTGCAGACTTCACTACTCGCGTTCACTGAGTATAATTCACACTGTCTTACCATGACTCACTCACCATAAATACCACACATTTACTACACAGTGCCATGCACTGAGGGCTGAGCAGAGCATGATCCCTGGCCAGCACCGCCCCACGAGCAGATGCCTATTCTGTGCATTTAAGATTAGCCCCGCGTCAAAGCAAGCCTCTCACGTGTAACCTGCAGCTTTGTTGAAATTAGAAGCAATTACCTGCCAATCTACATGGAAAGAACATCGCTGCTCTTATACTAGGTCAGCTCTAGTTTACATATAGTACAAGAGAACAGACCTGTATTATTTTTGAGGGAACACAAAATACGTTACAAGTTTTACAAGTGTGTTTTGTACTCCTAAAAGTGTGAAGCAAGATAAAATCATGCATACAACGTATTAGCCTCCTTTGCTAAACTACAGGCTGCTTTTTGAGTAATTGCTTTGAACATGCTTCAGTTGGTAAGGTGGGTTGTCAAAATGCTTCATTTCATTACAGATACACAAAATGTGATGTAACCCTTTGCCCTTGCAACATAGTGTTTATATGCTACTGCGTTATGTGACGTAACATTTACAAATATGTACATCTTGTGTACTCACTCATGCAAAGTAAGTTATCTGTGAATGCTAGGTACCACATCTACAGTCAGCAACTATGCAGAGCTTAAAGCTATTCAGCAACTCATGCAGAAAACGATAAAGAGGTTGATCTGAAGCTTCGAGGGAAATCTCCCATTCATTTGTTTTACTGCAAAAAGTTAAGAACGTGTGAACAACAAGCACAGGAGATCTGGGCTTTTCAGAGTAGTGGTAATGTCATATCTGCTCTTCAGCCTCATTTATAAACCTATCTTCAATCCTGTTGATGGCTAGGCTCCACTGAACATGGGCACCTGAAAAAACTACCATTGTACCATACGTCTCAAAAACTGTGCAACAAATAAACTAGAGAGCATTTTACAACGTGGGGTTATTCTGTGCTGCCATCATTTTTTAGCATACAGATGCTCACTTGTCATTGGCAAACAGGGGGTGGCTTCAGCCTGCTGTTCTTCAGGGAGAGCCTTTGCTCCCCACCAACTTTAAACAAAATATGGACAAAGCATTTTTGAGAGGAGGGAGAAAGAATATGAGCCCTTCCTTTGATGACTGCATGTTGACACTCACACTTGAAAGACCTTTCTTTTCAACCCTCCTTCACTTCCCCAGAAGGGCAAAAAAAAATGTGTTTCTGTTCCTATAAAGTATGAAAAGCCTTAGTAGAGACAGAGACTGTTTCTCTGCTGTCTCATCCCAAGAGGAGTTGCTGAGCATTACATACCCATTCACCAAAAATACACTGTCAATGCAAAAGGAGATCCTAGGCCAAAGTAGTCTATCCTTCTTTCACCTGGGAGCATAATTTTCATACCTCGTTCATCACTCAGTCCCAGCTGTCCCGAGCTGTTCTTTCCCCAGCCAAACACAGCTCCTGAGAGAGAAAGGGCAAAACTGTGGGCTCCGCCTGCCGCAACCTGAGCCAAAGGAATCCCATCAAGAGACTTGACACGTTGTGGACTGGCCTGGGAGGGACATTCTTTGCCCAAGCCCAGCTGACCATAGTGGTTCTGGCCCCATGTGAAGAACTGGCCATCTGAAACAAGGAAAGAAATGGAATGGTGAGTAAAAGCCAGTCAACAGAAAAGCAAGTTTGTCAAAATGAACAGGAAAAAGTGCTGGAGGCTTTGCTCCTGCCCAAGCCTCATGATAAAAAAAGAATTAAAATAAAATCAAGCAAGACATTATTTGCTCAAATAAAAGCACAGCCTGAAGCCACCAGCTAAAAGCCAGACAAGCAACTAAGTGCAAAATACAACATACAACTGCTGTAATTTAAACAGTGCAACAAAGAACAGTCCACATGTTGCACACAGAAGAGTAATAGCCAAGGATAATTTCAACACAAAGACATTAATTACACACATTTTTCTACATCAAGATGGAAAGCTTCTAAGTGTTCCTGTCATTATTCACCCCTGAGACAGTGGGTGGTCTGTGTGTAATGCTTTCTTTCTTGACAGTACTGGCAATGTTCTTCCTCCATAATCATGGTACCTGATCCATTTTATAGCATCCCATGTGGCCTGAAAGCAGTCAGGGTATAGGGTGTCCTTGATTTATTTGCAGAAACATGCAGTCTTGGACACTGTGCAAAATAACAGCACAAATTTTGGTAATTAATAGTGAATGTTACACAGTACCTGCTGCCAGAGCCAAGCAATGCCAATTCCCACAGGAAACCTGCAGTATCGTCTGTTGGTTCAATTTCTTTATCAACCTGAAGACAACAACACTATTTTAGAATAAGTGTCCACAAATACAGCATCATCTTAGATAAAAACTATGATTTCCACACAGATATTTGTTTTATATGTGCACACATCCCACAGTTTTGAAACTGAAGAACAGAGTCTTGAAGGTGATACAGATCCATACATAATAGACGCAAATCTGTGGAGACCTTTAGACACTTCACTACTAACTCAGCTACCTTTCCTACTGTAACACTGAATCCAACCATCTGGAAATGGTGGAAACGGCTGTTTCTTGGTGTCTCTCTTACTATTCTTTTTCAGGCACTGACATTTTTCATGTTGTCATGGAGCCTAGCAGTTCCTATGAGTTACAACACCAAAACCTCTTCAGTGCTTTGTACAGATGCCAAAGGTTCAACTTATTTCACAAAAATGTTTTGTTTTTTTTTTTTAAATGGCACTGTCATACTGACATGAGAGCCTGTCTCTCTCTAGTTATATCAGAACCACGTGCAAGTTAAGGACTGTCTTCCCAAAGAGTCCTTCAGCTCAAACATTAATCTTTCGTAGTTGAAACTCTTCCTTTAAATACTGTTTCAACAATAACAGCCATGCTAGAGAGATGTCCCAAAGTTCTGCTCTGCACTGGATCTGCAGTGACAGAACAAACAACAGACTACATTTGCTGTTAACACAGCATGATAAAACACCATGAAGTACAAAGGGACCAGTTGCCATTACTATGGTGGTAAGCTGAGAACCGTGAACTGCTTCGGATGGAGAAATCTTGGTGTCTGCCACTGGCCTCTGCCCCTACCACCATCTCTATAGGCCCTTGCACTTAAGCCTATTAGTTCTCTGACACAGGTAAGAGATGTTAAATAAGTAAGTTAATAAAACTGGGCACTATCCTAAAGTTTCTGAGAAACACTCACTGTTCAGAATTGTAGTAGAATGGTGCAGTAGCTTTGCTGCTGACAGGTAACACTGAAAAAGAGTTTCAGAGCTCAAGTGCCATTTCATTCAGCCACATAATTTTTTTTCCTGTTCTTGAAATGTCTCTCCTATCGTCCTAAGGACTGGAAGAGAGATTGGTCTCACAGCATTTCTGCTTTTGAGTCCTCCTTCGTGCAACTCCACACTCCATACAAAACATTATGGCATTTTTCATTGAGGAAGCCAAGCACACTCCAATTTTCTTTTCCATGCCTCAACCACCTGCACACAGAAGGTCTGTCCTACCCAAACCTCCTGAGGACTGTTTGAGTCCTGGGGGTGCTCAGGGAGCACCAGAACAGTACTGAAAAGGAGAAGGAATCACCCTTACAACCCTACATGAGAAGTGCACTATTACTGCCCCACTGAGAGAAAGTGACCCTCCCACCAAAGCCAGGTGGGAAGGTGAGCAACCCTTGATGTATCACCTCCCAAGGAGCTTCCTTAATTCCTCAACCTGAACCTGTTAAATGTTTACCTTGGCACCATCACTGCATCTTCCATAGTGGTGATTCCCAGCTGTCCATCGCTGCCGGCGCCCCAGGAGAAGAGCTGGCCCTGGTCGCTGAGTGCCACACTGTGAGACTCCCCACAGGCCACGTGCACAATGTGCTGCCCAGCCAGGGCTCCAATTTGCTCTGTGGGAAACAAAAAAGAACCTCTGTGGTCTCAGGATTCACCTCTCAGACATCTCACAGTAACACAAAGACAAGAGGTCTACGCAAATCTGTATGCAGAGCCATTCAAATGAGCGCACTGATACCCAGTTTAGTTTTAAAAGACTTCCTACAGGAGAAAAAGCACCAGATTTACTGAAAACATGTCACTGCTGAGCTCTTTGGAAAGCCTGGTCTGACAGTCATAGAAGGCAGGCAGGTACATGCCCCTGAGCACAATGACACATACAGACAGCCTCAGACACAGGGAACCACCTATCACGTTATTTAAGAACAAGCAGACTTCCCAGATTTGAGGTTTTCTCACTTGGTGTTGATTCAGGGATCAGCCAAGACCAAGAAGTCAGCAGACCCTGTAAAACACATTTGACCTTCCATAGCTCTCACATCCAATGAAGATAAGTCATCCACAAAGCTGGAAGTCATCCACAACCCATACACCACACCTTGCTTTACTGCTTGATGTGGATGTGTTACAACATCCCATGTACTAATTTTGGAACAGGTTTGAACCTGTCCACCTATTACTACCACTGTCGTCAAACACTCATTAAAGAAGTCCCCTAAAAAGGAAGCAAAGCAAGAAGGCCTTAACGGAAGTATAAAAGATAAAAGAAAAATATCATCACTCAGTCCTCTGGGAGATATCCACAACTGACTTCTCATCATTATATCATGTTAGGCAACTGAAGCAGGTTTGACAACTACTCTTATAATATCTATAAACAGATCTTATTCATTACATAGAGTTTTTACAAATGGAAATATTACACAACTGATGGAAAAACTCTCTGCACACCAGACAGAAGCAAAGTTGCTTTTCATTATTCTTCCCTGAATAAATACAAATGTTCCAGTTGGATGAAGAAAGATTTCACCCTGTAAGCTACAATGCAGGGACCAATTTTACTGAAGTCTCGCTTGTGACATGAAACAAAGAGTAGTTACGTGCCATTCTATGAAAATGATACCCCACATCAAGGGAATCCAGAAATCATTAACACTCTTAGCACCAAAATCTGCACACCAATCAATCTACACGTCTTAAATAAATGTAGGAGGAAGGCACCTCCCTAGGAGGGCTTGCCTTTTAAGTCTGGTAGCAGGAGAAAAATCCGTAATGGGTGTTATGGAAGAAGAAGGTGACAATTATTTAAATACGTATTCTAGCAGAGGAAAATGCCCCCTGAACGTGTGCTTCACTGCAGGTGCAGTTTACAAGTAATAAGAACATAAACATCCAGGGGGACTTGAGACCTGCCTGCTATCCAATCTCCCTTCAGCCCTCCTATCTAACAACACATTTTGTCCTCAAATAATACACACAGCTTCCACACTTGGGCCCTTAGGTGTCCAACTATGGTACTGCTTGGCAGCCTGGTTTATGTTCATTTGCATATATTACTTGGGGAGCCTATTTTTATCTGTGAGCTCCAACCAACCAGCAGCTGTAAGGGCTGGCCAAGGTCAATAACAAACAGCGGGCAAGGGATCTCAGCAGCACATGTGGCTATGGTCTCTTCCTCTCAGTCATCCAGTAAGACGAAAAACACCTGCTGCAATGTGCCAGACACACCACCTAACTTCAGACAGGTGTGCTTCTGTACTGAGACCCAAAGGCCCAGAACAAAAGCTGCTGTTAGAGAGGATTACACCACTAAAAGGAGAGAAGGATGAAGCTATCCACTCCTCCAAGGAAAACCCTTTGACTCATGAACCTATCATTTCTCTGTAATCTTGCTGGCAAGGTACACTGAGACTTGGCTGTTATCCAGAGCAAGTGAGCTCTTAAAAGTGATCATAAACTCACCAGCCTGCCCTTCTTCCAAAGCTGGTCCCTGCACACTGCCCAACACTCCAGAGGACATCACAAGTCTAACAAAGAAACAAATGTGGACAATATGGGATGCTGGGGCACCCATAATAGAGACTGTTTTGCTACCTGTAGGCATGAATGAGCTAATTTCTTCCCTGGGAAAACAGTATTTGCCACAGTAAGTATACACATCTTATTTGCTGCAGAAGGACTACCACGAGCTGACCCTGAACCACTGGAGCACTGAGGGAAGGCAAGAGAAGACTCCAGTGAGTAAAGATCAGTGTCAGGAGCTGGAGGAGGCAGGAGCCTGACCACAGCAATACTGCAAATAGAGAAAGAACACCCTGAGGTATGAGGTTGGGGCAAGGACTTCACACACTGGGAAACTGAGAGGACATACAAAAGGCTTAGAAATCCAGGGTTGTTTCAGTCCCCACTGGCTCCATCTCAAGTTTAATTTGGCAACACAAACGTGACCTTGCTTATGTGCCATCCCAAGGGGCTAATAAATATCAACTTCTTTTGAAAGGCTGCTCTGTGTCACTGAAAGCCTTCAGTGACTGCACTGCCCACCCATGAAACAGAGTACAGTCTCATCTAGACACCCTGGATAACCACAGACAAAAAAACATGCCTGTCTTGAAGCTGAAGCTCTTTGCCTTTAGAAACGTACGCGTATGGCCCACCTTGCCACAGCACATTGCTAAGACCCTGTCAGTAGCAGCTTGCCTGTAAATGCCAAACAATTAAAAGTTTTACACACACTCATACACATTTCCTTCCGGAGATGGAAAAATGCCAGCCTTCCCCTGGGGGCACAGACTGTCCAAGCAGTCCAACAAGGGTCCCAGTTCATTGTCAGGCTTGCCAAGTCTCCGCCTGTACCTTCTCCCAGCTAACATGGGCAGTATTACCAAAAACATCTGACAATTACTACTTCGTTGACTTCCCACCCCTTCCTCACATCAAGATATGATATGTTTTAGTGGTTTGTATCCGTTTGTTTTAATTTCCAAAGCATCACGACACCATTATTCATTCTTTAGAAAAGATGTATCATTGCACTGAGACGAAGGGTACAAAGGGTAAAGTTTATTCTTAGTATGTCTTCGGTAATAGATGAATAAAACCAGTCAAGTGGAGCTTAACAGGTACAATTATATACAAAACTAAGCAGAACAAGACCCTGAAAGCAATAGGGAAGGGTTGAAGGAGTTATGCAATACAGTATTTCAACACCTCATAAAACTTTCAAAATACAAACAAAACCCCACAAGTTCCAAGAAGTACACATTGACACAATCTTTTCTTTCTGAAGCTGTCAGCTGTCTCAAAACAGCACCAATGGTCAGAAGTCATTTATCAGTTCTTCACATCTGGTGGAGTTCCAACTTTCATTTCTCTCTTCTGTCCACTTTAACCCACAGAACCACAAATAGACATATCAAGGTTTGACTTTTCTTGGTCTTAACCTTGTCAGATCTCTTCATAAAATACACATTGGAATAAAATGCCTTCAGGACAGCCCATCTCTAAATGGTGACAGGCCTGCTTCCCAGAACTGCTCTCAGAACTGCTCTCGTTTTCTCAGTTTGCAAAAGTTGAGGATAAGTGGCACGTGTTTCTATAACTCAGCTTTCTAACAATCGGTGCATTTAGCTTGAAGGTTTGGAAATGGCAGGAAAGCTGGGTTAAGAATGAAAACCCCTGAAAAGCCCACCTTCAGTCCATAGCTTCACTATTTATAAAACAGGGCCTATGCTTTGCCCCCATGGTGTTGGAAAGCTATACAAGATTTTCAGTTTCTGCGACTGCTAGAAGCACAAAGAACTCAGTTATACTGCTCTAATTAGAATTCACAGGCAATGAATGATTAATTAGCTTTCCTGCTCCTAGTAATTTTATCAGAGAGTTGGTACACCCTTTCTATGTATAGCTTCCAGCTGCTCACAAGACAGGCTTTTGCTAGAGGACGTGGTAAAATCCTTCAGCCATATGTGTACTGGGATGTACACGAACAGCACCAGATGGCTTCTACTGCCTGAGAAACTACCAGCCCTGAGGTTGCACCTTCAGTGTCAAAATCTGGATCTCTTCAGTGGTGAGAAGAAGCTGTGTCTTGGAAGAGTTTCAAGTGATTTCAGTCTGCTTGGACACCTGGCCAAAACTTCTCGTTGCCTTCCCAGCTCAACAACAAGAAACTCGGAGCTTTTGCTCATCTTGGTTGTTGCTGTCAGCAAGGAAAGTGCCCACAAGCTCTCTAAAATAAGTGTCTTACTAGCTTGCCCAGATAAGAGATGGTGATAGGAACAAAGTGAAGAAAGAAACAGGTAAGGTAAGATAAGAAATTCCTCTGGGTTAAATACTAACAACTGGCAAGTCTAAGGACAGATGAGCCAATTTCTTTGCATTGCATGGTTGTTGGTATAGTCCACATCCACACTGAGGATGAGTGAGCATTGTGCAACTGAGATCTAAAAATCAGAACTGTGAGATAAAATGTTTTAAGACACAAGGCAGCTGAATATTTCATCAGACACCAACAGCCACGCAAATTTCACCCATAGGACCTTTCTACTCTACAAGAACTGAAAAGCCTTAATTCTCATAGGAAAGGAGCCAAGTTCTCTCCTTTTGGAGATGAACTACACCAACACATTAAACCATCTAACAAGGTGACACTAACAGCATTAGCACTTAGGGAAGCTTGATTCAACAGCCAAAAACTCCATGAAAATCTGTTACTGCCTTCAACAAGCACAACGAGGAAATGAGAAAAACACTACAGCCCAAACTTATCAATCATCAGCATTTTATTAAGCCACTGTACAAAAAGCAAGTACACAACAAGTGGATCTACCAAATGCCCTGACAAGATTTTTATACATTAAGTAGTGAACTTCAGCTGACTGCTGATTCCCTGGTCTCCAACAGCACATCCTGGAGCTGTTTCTGCATATGGATATCCTGGCTGTATTTCTAGGCTGTGATAAGCTTCATGATTTCAGTCCTAAAAAAGTAAGCCGTGCACTAAAACACGCTGGAGTGTTTTAATGAAACTGGAAAGAGGAAAAGAGAACAAAGTGCAGCAATCAAAATGCTTGCAATCAGAAGTGCACTAAGACAGAGGCATGCCTAAGAT